CTACCCATCGGTGAGCACTGGTAGATCAAAATGACCGCCTATTAAAAGTGTGGAGGGGGTGATAAAATCGGATCTTTCACCGGAGAGGCTCAATGATAAAGTGTTGGAAAACTATTTTCATAAACGTTAGTAATTAAATACAAATTTCATCAAAATATTTAAGCCAATTGAATTTGCTTAACATTGAATTAGGTTATCATTCTTAATTGGTATTTCGTTTTTTTAAAAATTATGACATTTTTATACTGTTTACAAGAGGTGCGCGATAGACCTACCCCCACCTGGTGCACCTTGGGCAATGTTTACTCATACGGCAAAAAAGTCCATTATTCGGCAGCTGACCCCTGATTTCAAATTACCACGACCCCACTGTATGCCAACTTCTACCACTCCAATAGTACTCATCTTATCTCTTCTCTACATTTGTGTACTTCTGTCTCTTTTACATCTGTGAATCACTCTTCTTCCCCCCCCCCTTCTCCTCTGTGAAGTCCGAAGTCAGCAAAAGGGATAATGATGACTATCAAAACGCCTGCCATTTGAAATAAATAAATATTGTCTACAAAGAAACACCTCAATATATTTTACATTGATTCATAGCTATCTCTGGATAGAGCATAATATCTATTAATAGTTTCACGTCAAAAAGCTAACGCTAGAATGCTGCACTCTAAAGATACCAACCTCAAATAGGGTTCATTCGCTTGAAGGTCATCAATGCAAGCACATTTGTTCATTTTGTTATGGCAAATTTTATGAGATCACTCTGTGGGAGGTACTCAAAATGAGTCAAGAGAAAGACCTTAATTTTAGTTCTCAGAACAATGATCAAATTCAAGCCAGTTCTAAGGCGCCATTGGTTGGGAATGCAAACGGTGTTTCTGATATGCGTTAGGAACTTAACAATTCTGCCTGTTTGGGATCAAAGTAATGTTTCAACTACATTTGAAATTTCTTCAGTGGGAAAAAGTTAAATAATCAAAAGCTGCCAATCGAATTAAAAGCAGCATTAACGTAAAAATCAATGAGGAATGTCATTTTTATATAGAAAAAAAACTTAAGACCTAATTTTCACTCACACGACAAGTTTGCTTTACTTATACTACTAATTTGGGGTGTGCGATAGACTTACCTCCACGCGGTGCACCCTGGGCAACGTATACTCATATGGCAAAAAAGTCCGTGCACCCTGGGCAACGTATACTCATACGGCAAAAAGTCTTTTAACTGCACCCTGGGGAACGTATACTCATACGGCAAAAAAGTCTAACACCCTGGGCAACGTATACTCATGCGACAAAAAAGTCTAAAATACGGGGTGTGCGATAGACTTACCTCCGTGATATATTTAATGAATGGGGTGTGCGATAGACTTACCTCCACGTTGTGCGAAATAGCAATGTGGGGTGTGCGATAGACTTACCTCCACGTGGTACGCCCTGGGCAATGTATACTCATACGGCAAAAAAGTCTATTAAATGGCTTGGAAACGTGACCCATACGGCAAAAAATCTATTAACCGGCAGTTGACTTCAAACTACCATCACCCCACTGTATGTCATATTCGTCTACTTCCACTTCAAACTACCATCACCCCACTGTATGTCATATTCGAAACTTCAAACTACCATCACCCCACTGTATGTCATATTTGACCCCTTCCACAGTACTCATCTCACCTTTTCTCTGCTTTTGTGTCTGACTATCTCTTTTGCATCTGTGAATCGCTCTTCTGTTCCCCACACCTCGACTTTCAGCTACTTTGATGAACCTTCCCTCTGTGAAGCCCGAAGTCAGCTAAATGGCTAATGATTGCTATCAAAACGCCTGCCATTTGAAATAAATAAAATACTACTAATTTTCAAATCCGATTCTGAAACCTTACTTGTTCAGGTACGTTCGAGCCTTGGAAAATACCAATATAACCGCTTGAAATGTTATGCTATTTACAACAGAAAATCGGCACTCTGCGACAATTATTTTAAAGTAGCATTTCAGAATTGTGCAACTTTATTCTACTGCCTATCACGTCTATTATTAACATTCTAAATTTCCATGCGCGATGTTCAGCACTTGCTAACCAGCCAATTCAGTAGGTTCTTTTCACGGAAGGTGTCAACAGCGAGGTGATACTGGACAACAGGATTTCAGCACAACAGAGCTCTCTAGAATTCATCTCTATCCACTTCAGACTTAAAAATAATTACAAACTGAAATTAGTATTTTGTTCGCTTTTTTCAAATCTTTTGATGAAATTCTAATAGAACTGCTGGATAAGAAGTAAACGGAAGACCTTTTAAAAATGGAACGTGTGCGTAGGCGAAAGAAAACCATTAGAAAGGAAGTACATTGAAGTCAATGTCCAGTGCCATCTAACTTTGGAAGTGTGTAAATCGCATGAGCCAATAAATTAAATGAATCTTAAGTATATCACCTTCAAGTACCAATTGTATTGATCCAATTCGAAGTTGTTGTCGCTAGATACCAGCCAATCTTTGAGTACATTTTTTTCTCAAAGTAAGCTAACTTCAAATACAATACTACAAGTACGATGGCGCTCTATGACAAACGAATTCACCCGCCTATATTGCATTGGTCGGATAGTATTTAGTGACTATTGACAGCTTTTCTTCTCGTTTACTACTGATTTAAAAATTGATGATAATAATAGACACTGGACCAAATAGCAGGAGGGTCAGAATAAGTGCGGAATCATGAGATTAGGCACAAACAAACACACACACACAAGGGCGTAGGAAAAGAGTTACTAATTTTAGCTCCTCCCAAATAAGGGGCCTATTTTTAGAAGAGGGCAATTGCTGTGCTGTTCTTGGCTCTCTTCCCCCCCCCCCCCCCCCACTTCGCTCTGCGCGCGGCCTGTTACCAACACAGCAGCACAACATCACAGTGGGACGGAGAGGGAGAGGGCGAGAGGATCGTCGATTCGCTCGGTCTGTATGCGGACGTATACAGCTTTTCGAAGAGGCAGTAGCAAATCTGGTGCTGCTGCTGCTGTTGTTAAGTCTGCTACTAATGATGCTGGTGATGATGATGATGATGATGTACATAGTGGGATTTATGATGAGAATGATTGAAGCGGGATGTGCTGTGCTGTTCCAAGGGGATTGTTTATCTCAGACCCCTTATTCATAGGCGCGCATTTTTTTGAAAATTCGGACTACCATAAAAGAGATTTATATATATTTCGACCCTAAATGCTGAGCGCGACTACTGCATATTTTGAAAGTCAATTCGAGAAAATCCAGAGATGATCCAGCAAAATATAGGTTGGTGTTGTAAGCAGGCCTTGTGAGGATCTCTACTTAATAAATTCATAGCGATGGAGTGCATAAATTAGCATTCTCCATTCTGAACTAAATTATGTTCAACTAGAAAAATGCTGAAATGTTTACGTTCTTTACTATTTCACCTCTGTTATTTACAAAATCAGAATCAAATTAATAACAAGCGCTGTCAAACTATTATGGCTGAGTATCCATCAAGCATAAGTCATCGGGTATGAGAAAATTGGTATCATTTTTACCGTTATTTTAATGTACATTAGATGGTGAATAGTACTTTAAGAAGTCGAAACACTCAAAAAATGGTGAAATTTATTAAGGTATACCCAATAATCTTAAAATCCAGTAATTTGTCTCTAAACTATAAGCATGTCTATACTGCAATGCTTCTAACTTTCAAATTGAAATAATAAATGTTGTAAATTAAAATTAAGTGACAAAGTACTGTTAATATATTGTGTAGGTATAACAGGGAAAAAAATTAGAGAAAATTTAAAGGACCTTGAGTAAATTAAATTGGTTTTGTAGGTTGCCTCAACCACCAGAAAACAAGTTAATAAATTGAGCTGACTATTGCGAATAGAGCCAGGAATCTAGTTGGTTCATGTTGATCGCATGTCAAATCTAGTGAATTCACTACTTCTGCCTATCGACAACGGCGTAAACTTTTGGTAAATCGACCAGAATCGATAACAGGAAGTGAACTGCATCCTTCTCAATGTAGCTTTCATGAGAGGGAGAGGGGGAGAGAGAGAGCGACTGTGGAGTAAATGTTGTTTAAGTGAAAGAAAGATTTACGTCTCCCTTAGTAATCTCTCTGCCACTATACAAATCGAATTATAAAAAAATGAGGTCAAATTAAATTGGCTTGCACAACAGACTCCCTTCTCTCTGCAACTAAAATATGCTATTATCAATTATTATGTGGCTCAGACTAGCTGTGTAGAATTCATCGACTCAACATTGTCGAAGGAGCCCGTACATCAATTTGAATGGATTTTACAAATTACACAAAAAACCTGTTTTATACTTATTCCTACTCTACCTGATGATAAAAAAATATTGTTTTTTTTGTTATTTAAACCATTTTAAGTATTATATTAAAACTCATTATTTTTAGCTGAAAAAATGGTTATAACTAAATGTAAAGAAAAAAACTGTCATTGTGTTATTAATGAAATTAAAAATTCGACGCAAATTTTTCTGCTTAAAAAGGGAAAAAAAGAGTGTTTCCCTTATTACCTGCGTCAATTTATTTATTCCTATTTGACTAAAATTTACATGGATTCAAGCATCATCTAAGACGATAAGCAAGTAAAAATAATTTTAAAAATTAAAAATCTTACTATTCAGGAAATAGGAAACAACCGCCCGAAACCCGATTAATCTTTTTGCTTCAAGAAATTTTTTTGAGAAGGGGGAATCTTCGACATCAAGTGGTGCTTGCTAGAACCAATTGAGAATCTACTCAAATAAAACACTTTTTCTTCTCCACTTGCCAGTATCATAACTTAATGTTAATAAGTCAACACTCATGCAGAGGTGTGTACCAAAAATTAATTTGCAAGATTAATTATACGTAGTCGCCCGATATCACGGACGATTTTCTCTATTAAAAATGACGCCACATGAACAAACTAGTAGTTGTGTGAAATGTATACCAATTTTGTCTCTAAGAAATGCTTTTTGATAGGATCTTTACGATAAAGAGGATACTAACTTGGCATGAGAGATGTGATGATGTTGTGGATGTTGTCGCGGAGGCATCTGCTTGGATCCCTGTGGGCGTAGAAGGTTTAATGGATGAGCACGGGAATTTGGTGCGCCATGGGGCATTGAGAATCCACCCGGATGTTGCATTCGTGGAACAGATGAAGGTCGAACCGTTCCAGCATTTCCACCACCTGCAGACATCATTTGCCCAGTAGCCGCATTTAATGGGGATCCTGGCAGTGCAGAACAACAACTGTTAGGATCGCCCAAACCTCCTGAATCAACTGGCGATAGAACTGACATTGGGGAGGCTGGCATTTGCCTATGATGGCCCTTTAAATCATGAAGAGGACGCTTAAGTTCCTAAAAAATGTCCAATAATTCAAAACTCAAAAATTTAAAACCATAACTTCAGAGTTCGTGAACTCACTTTATGCCGTCTAGCATAGTTAGCATGAATCTGATCCAATTCCTCAATCGTCATTCCCCAATTTTGTTCCTCAGGTGGAATTCGAGGGTCATACCTGGAAGAAAGTGAAATTATTTACAGAACATACCAGGTAGTCTGCTTAGTTTCGTGGTTGAGAAAATAAACTTGTTTTTTTTCATTGATAGCCATTTGAAATTCTGGTGGAAGTTCGCATATAGGAGAAGCAAGGCTATCAGTTGGCAGCGATTCAGAATAATGGAATGGACTACATAAATTAACGATAATATACTAAGTATTAATAGTACCCTCTATTTACATGTGGCGAAAGTCCTGCACCAGAGTTACGAGCAAGATTTTGAGTTGTATCGAGACTTTTTTGCCTATTGTGGTCGATTACCTCTGATAGATAAGCAGGATTTGTACCAATACAAGATGGAGAAGAGTTTGATTTCCTGTGCGAGATGCAATACCCGTCTAGATTATTGTCTGTTGAGGAACCAGAGCGATTTGAATGCTCCTTTGTTGGGGGAATCCAAAAAGATTTAGGAAAATTGCGCTCGTCCATTGGCTTTGTAGCCTTACTTGAATCCCGATTAAATAATTCCTGAATTCCATCACGAGCACATTCGAAAATTCGAACTCGTGGAGGAGGCACCCGAGAATCTCCTTTTTCTTCCATTAAAACATAAGTCGCGAAAGCTCAAGACCGAAATATATCCAAGTTATTAGTAAAAGTATGACCTTAGATGTTGGTACGCTAAAACAAGAAACAGCTAATAGGGGTTCATAGCTATGCAAAATAGAAAGCCAAAAAATACGTAAAATTTTGCAAAACGATTTATATTTTTGTTGTTATTCATATGTCCAAAAGGGAGAAAAAGAGTGTTTTTGTTTTGCGATTGCATCTATTATTAACAAATAAACGTCAGACATGGATAAGTATCTTTATGGTTTTCAACAGCATAATTATTTCAATCAATTTTATTTCATTATAAATTTTATGAAGAGGTTGAAATCGTGTCTGTCTTATGAACTGATATTTATATCCGTTTATTCAACTTTTGATACGCATTCCAAACATTAAATGCTATCCAACATATGTTAATTCTGCTTCATGAACACAATTAATGCACGTGTATTATCTTATATCATATTAGTTGGTGAATAAATATACAAACTACGGAGTCCAAAAACGCCAAATATTTTAATGAAGCGCCATAATTCCTCATAATTAACAATCCCTGCAAAATTCAAAACCCAACGGAAGTGTGCTAGCCGTCCTGTTGTCTATGTGAGAACATCCGGCTTAGTTTCAAGAATTATTTAAATGTCAAAACTTGGGGCTCTTTGTTAGGCACAAGGACCCAATATTGCGTCTTTTATCAAATTCTCAACCCAATAACACTACGTAGTGTTATATGAAGTATAATATTTTTTGTTTCTCATTCGATTCTAAAAGGGAGATCGCGTGAACCATCACCATTTTTGGTCGATTTGGCGCTACAATTATTGAAAACTTTTCAGTTTATAGCTGTGAAATTTCAGATGATTCGTCTTTTAAATTCACTAGTGAGTTGACTTGAGAAAATTTTCATTTCTCTTTTGGCCGGATGCAATATCTCTGCGACTATTTCCTTCGTTTAGTAGTGGTGTCTGTTCGCCGAGGTTTTTGAATATCCCTCCAAAATTTAATTGCATTTCTAATCTGCTGGCCTTTTAGGAAAGATCTGCTGTGTTCAATATTTGTCATGGAAATTGAAACTTTTATACATCGTTTAAAATATCATCAGATTTCTGGGGCTTTGTTACAAATATGAAACGCTTTTCAGCCGCCTGACGAAAATTTCTGCCTTAGTGAACGACGTGATCAATCAACGTAAAATGGTGTGGAGTTTCAACCTAGTGACTATTAATATCCAAAATATCAACGTAGATGGCCGCGTAACCAACTTTGCTATTTCGTCAAATTTAATTCTTCTAGATAGGAGGTCAAAAAGCTCAATAATTTTATTTTTCTTTGTTTTTTTTTTCAATATAAGGTTACAATACAGATAGGAGTGTGCGATTGACTTATCTTCATGTGGTGCATCCTGGGCAACGTATACTCATACGCAAAAAGTCTATAAACAGACAGTTGAATAAAAACTACTATGAACCAACTCTATTGTCATATTCGAACAACTCCATAGTACTCACCTTTCCCCCTCCTCTACCTTTATGTCTGTCTCTTTAACATCTTTGAATC